AATGAACAGAAAGGTTTGTCAAGAAGAATTCTGTCCTATCTTTCAAATTTTTATACAAATAATCAATTAAATTTAATGTTACAAAGCAAGATTCCAAGAGCTTATAGCTCTGCAAGTTTAAATATAAAATGTATAGTAGACTCTGAAAATCAGCAAGTAAATCTAGAGCTAAACAAAAGTGAAACAAAACTGTCGTTCTAATTGGGAACGGCGGGAAAGAACGACACGGACTCTCAAGGGAGTCAGAACAGAAGAAATCTTTAGTTTATTGCTCTAGGCTTGTTATATAGATTAGTTTGTGGAAAGTACAGAAAGGAAACTCTTATTGGTTAGTAAATCACTACATCACCATCATTGGTCAGTGGGGTTCACCACCCCCTGACTTTCTCCTGCAAGGAAAACAAGAGGACAGACAAACAGCACCTGGCAATTGTTTTCTGTTTCTGAGGATTGTTTTGAAATCCTCCTATGAATTCTCAGGCAGGACTGAGAGGCCATGGGGCCTGCAGCCTGCTCCAAAGCTAGCATCCACACAAATCTGTCACAACATTGTACTTTTAGAGTCTCATCTGAATTAAAAAACCTATCCATTCTCCCCAGGTATCAATGCGAAATTCTTAGCTTTTAAATTTCTAGCCATATCATACCTATTCAGCCCAGGAGAATAACAATAATCATCTTACCCAAGGTCTTTAAAAACTTTGGGAATTTCCTCCTCAAATTTTGAGTCAGGCAGTTCATAAGAAGGGCAGAGGAATCTATAGATAAAGGTGAAGATCTTTAAAAAGTCCTTAACTGATGGAGATTGTAGAGATTTCATGGAAACGTTGTGCCCATAAGCATTCTCAAGGAGGAACTGTGCAAAAGAAACACAGAATACCAGTCACTAAATAAAGCTTAAGAGTTCAAACCAAGAGAAAGGACCCTTCTGATGAATACGTTGTACACCTCATAACATAAGTGCAGAAGGAGTTAATATGTTACCTCATAAAGCTTCTTGATACATTGTTGGATGAATGTTTTGTCATGAAGGGGCCTGGGATCCTTTATCTTTTCTGTCCCAAACACACCGTGCTGGCTGCTGCGGGACCCTCCAGCCCCACTCGCTCTAAGGACAGACAGTAAACACAGGTCTTGTGACAATACATAGAAAGAACAACACTCTTCATGTTTAAGTCACAGCACAAATGCTATGTTGATATTTTCTTTGCATTTGTTATACAAAGTGATAGTGATAGATAAAGAAGTTTTCTCTTCATTTAAGGTGATTGGATAAACATCATTGATGTGGAAGCCACAATGCCACGTGTGCAACAAAGGGATTACTGCATCCTAGATGAATAATGTCATCATTTTATTGAAAGAAATAAACTCTTAGAGAGCAGAAAACAAACCCAAAGATGAAGAAATCATGTTGGTGACTGTGAATAAAGACCAAAATATTTAAGGACTATTTAAAAGGAATAGACCCCTGCAGCATTGGGGGTCCTATGAAAGAAGATACCCACAACACAGAAAGTCATGAGCTAAGCAGAAAGATTTAAGATTTTTGGAAGGTTAGTACCTCAGAGAGAAGAAATTAATGCAGAGTATATTTTAGATGTCATTCTTCCTTAAACAAAAAAAAAATGTAATGAGATACTCTTAAGGTCTGCAGTGCACGTCATTCCCAAAAGAAAAAAAAAAAGCTCCCAAAGCAATTCCTGCTCCACAGCATTATTGTTTATTGATCAAGGACTGGAGGAAGGCAGACCTGAAGGTCTGCTTGCCTCGGATCCATTACTCCCTATAACGAAAACCAGTCAAGAAAGAAAAATTCCAAAATTATATAGGACCATTTTTGTTTCAATATACAGTGCAGAGAACAAAACCTATACGTACCTGTTCCCAGAACAGCTGGCTTTTCCTTCTGAAGCTCCAGATGTAGGTTTGCTCATGCTCAGCTTCCCAAGGGTGCTTCTGTCCTTCCTTAGGAATAGAGAGAAGGATTCAAGTGACTGTTTCTACCAATTCCATCTCTTGCTTTTACAAGAACTATACATGCACTCATATATTCCTAAGCACCTTCATCACAGCAACATCTTAGAAAGGTCAGCTCATGCACCCAGCCATCTCCTAAGCAACATGTAACAAAGGGTTACCATTTGAAACATGACACAGGTATACAAAAAGGTTAAAGCAAGTAGTGTTGCAAAACTGGAGCACTTGTGCAAACACCCTTGGCTGTAAGGAGACTTCTCACTGTATCAGTTTATTTTCTCAGTTGCTACTCCCACACACTATGATAAATCTCTTCAGAATTAGTTTTATATAATTATTTTTAGCAATCTGACAGGCAAGACTTACATCTGAGGTGTTTGAAGACCCATCTTGTTGCTGTCCTCCACTCTCAGTGCCATCATAGATTGTCGGCTGCTGCTTCCAGCAATACTTGAGCTTCGCCTCATTGTGACTGCTGTAAATCCCTCAGTGTTCCAGCAGTGTCAGAAAATACAGGGTCTAAGGGTATTTTGTGTTCTAAATGCCACAATGATTTCCCAAAAGCTCAGAATAAAGAAGTAGACCTGTACATTGGATCAAAAAAAAATATTGATTATGTTAGACTCCAGAAATATGTAAGAGCAGCCACAGTCTTTTAAATCAACTGTTTTATTGACGAAAGAGTCAGTGGTTACTCCAAACCTACTGTTTTGCCTTTTTTTCTGTTTGGTCACTTCAAACGCCCAGGTTCCAAAAGCAAAAGAGCTTGAGAAATTTTTCAGTTCAGTCCACTGGGATAAAGGCCACACTACCACGAGTTCACAAGTACTGCTTACAGCACTTCAGCCATACATCAGCTCCTGAGCTGCTCAGTCTGAGCCTACCAATTCATTTGCAACTGATCCCCCAGCATCATAGCACAATAACTGGAAAATCTGTTCTGAGGTAATATTATGGCTGTCTTCAGACTGTGCATGCAGATATAAATCAAACTGGCATATTAATACCCTTGTCCCCACAGTGGCATTAAGGTGGAATTTGAAGTAAACAGAATTAATTCAGGAAAAAAATGCCAGCTTTCTGTTGGAGTCTGGGATACAAAGTGTGTACCCTTGTTTCTGATACTTAGTTCTAAGATCCAGAAAAACACTGAATTTCATATAACATGAAATTCATGAGCATGTTTTCATGGTGATACATGAAAACAGCTGTTAAAATTAGACAGAAAAAGCTAAAAGTGTAAGTGTAGATTAGAAAGTTTTCTTAAATCACTGGGTGAAAAAGTTAGTTTAGAGAGCAGAAGGCAAGATGGACGATTTAGGGTGTTGTCTCTTGTCCCTTCTTTCTTCTTCATGATCTTCTCCTAGAGGTTTTTGGGTAATAGTAAGTGATTGGACAGAAAATGCCACAGTGTAGCACAGAGGTGAAGGGTCATTGGGTCATTAAGAAAAATAATATACATGTCTATTGTTAATTGGGTAAAAATAGGTATAAAGATAAAAAAACTGCGTAGTTCAGGGCCATTTTGTGCTGTCGGGCACGGGATGAGCCACAAGGCCTTGTTGTACCAGCAGAAGAAAGAAATGTACCAGATTGCAAAGATATAACCTCGTGCAGTCAGTCTGGAGAGACCTGCCAAGTTTTGTGATGACCTTCCAATAAACACGAGAAACAAGATTCTAATGAGCTGGGGAGTTTTCATCAAATCACAAGACCTGAGATAAGCAGAGCTCCCCATGAGGGAGGATCCCAAAAGAATTCAGTCCAAAGGAGGCTGAGAAATCCGGGAAGAGAGAGGAAAATACAGAAGAAATGCAGCAGAATCAGAGAAATAGAAAAAGTATTTTTTAGAGAAAAGTTAGAACCTCTGTAGAGGGCAGAAAGTGTATCTCATTTGTGGGATAGGCTTAAATGACTGAATTATAACTAATAAAAGCCCCCTCCTCTACAAACATTACCAAAACACATTATTAGTATAAACTGTTGCTTCATTTTACTTCCAGTTACACTGCTCACAAACCACAACAGAAGTCTAGCTCTCAAGCTCAATTCATAGGGCAGCATATTCATGAGTTCACTGTGTCTGGGGAAGAAGCTGCATTATTCCATTATTTTAACTGGGACCAACCACAAAAAGACTGAATTTTCACAAACATAGCAAGTGATTAGCTTCTAGTATAACAGAATCAATTAGGCTGGAAAAGACCTGTGAGATCCTCTAGTCCAACTTACGAGCAGTCACCATCTTGTAAGCTAGACCATAGCTCTAAGTGCTACATCCAGCTTTTCCTTAAACACCTCCAGGGACACTGACTCCACCATCATGCCGGGCAGGTGTGGTGATTGCTTAAGCAAGCTCACCCTCATTCACGACAGCAGTCCATTCCAGTGTACAATCGCCTTTTCTGTGGAGCAATTCCTCCAGCTGTCCCACCAAAGCCTGGCACAGTTTGAGCCCGTGTCCTGTCGCTCGTTGCCTGGGAGAAGAGGCCGACCCTCATCTGGCTACAGCCTCCTCTTAGATGTTTCCAGAATTATGAGGTTGCCCAGAGCCTCCTTTTCACCAGGCTCAACAACCCCAGCTCCCTCAGCCACTTCTCATGGGACTTGTGCTCCAGAGCCTTCCCCAGCTCCGCTGCCCTTCTCTGGACACGCTCCAGCCCCTCAGCGTCCTTCTTGAACTGAGGGGCCCAGAACTGGACACGGCACTGAGGCGCGGCCTCACCAGCGCCGCGTACCAGGATTGTCACTGCCATGCTCCTGCTGGCCACGCTGCTGCTGCCATTAGCCAGGCCGCTGTAAGAGCAGAGCTGCAGCAGAGATGGAAGAGCAGTTTGCCAGAGCCAGCACGCCAGCAGGATAAAAAAGAGAAGAGCGCAGGAGCGCGGCAGAGCCGGGCGCAGCTCCGCCCTCTCGCCCTGAGAGCGCGTCTAAACCGTACCGAGGGCGACCGGGGCACTCAGCAGCGAGGCCAGCCCGGGACTCACCACCACTACCACCGCCGCCGCACGGACATTTGTCCCGGTGCTTGAGGGTGTTGGTGTTGCTGCCGCTCCCTTCCCGCTCCTCGCCCTGCCCTTACCGCCAGCGCCGCCGCCCGCTCGCAATTTCAAATCCGCCCGCCCGGACGTCCCTCAGAGCGTCCCACGGAACTGCGTCATGGACGGGCCGCGGGCGGAGCAGCGCCCGGAGGAGGGGAGGAGGGAACGGAGGAGAGGAGGAGGGAACGGAGGAGAGGAGGAGCGAACGGAGGAGAGGAGGAGGGAACGGAGGAAAAGAGGAGGGAACGGAGGAGAGGAGGAGCTGAAGCCCCAGAAGTGCTCAGGGACGGGCCATGGCCGTACAGCGACATGACGGCGCCCGCGGTGAGTGTTTGCCAGGCGCTGCCGGGCCACGGCGAACCCCGGGCTTTTCTCCAGCCGCCGAGAGTTTTCCTGGAGAAAACCCAGCCCCGAGCTCTCGGTCCCTGTGTGCCCTCGGGGATGGGAGTCGGCGCCTGGCCTCAGCCGCGCTGGGGCTGCGGCTGCCCCTGCCCTTGTGCCTATATTGCTGCTCCCGGGTGCCGTCATAGTGATCCATGTCTCTATGTATATGTGTGTGTGTGTGTAGATACAGTGTGTGCATGTGTACATGGTGAGTATGTATGCACATGTGTGTGTTCATATGTGAATATGTATAGCGTATGTGTATATATAGTGTGTGCATATATGTAGTTTATAGTCTATAGTGTGCAGATATATGTAGTCTATATAGCATGTGTGTAACATATGTAGTAAAGATATGTAGTGTAAATGCATATATATGTGGTGTATATAGAGTGTATAGATATACACAGGTATCATATAGTCTTAGACATAATTGGAGTGTCATAGGGCTGTTTTCTGACTTGTTAAAAAGAGCCAGAGTAAGCACATACCGTATAAAAGTATGGAAAGTCATATAAAACTTGGTTACTACAAAAAATGTAGTGGTATGGGGATCAACATAATGGGGAAACCAGCTGAAGTCAGCAGTGTGGCCTGTGTGAGCATGGAAATGTCTGTCAGAAGGGATGTGCTAGTTTATTAAATAGTGATAATTCTGTAAAGTGAATTCTTATAAAAATTCCCACAGGAGGAGGTTGCTCCAGGAAGTGCAGACGGTTGGTGAAGGCTGTGGTTTCAGGGAGCTCATCTTTCGTCCTGAAAAGGGGACTTAGGATGTTGGTGGTACATGGTCTGACAGTGGGATGGCTTGTGGATCATCTCTCTTTCATCAGCCAGTGTGGCTATGAGATCTGTGACTCCTTTGCACACGCTGGTGGTGTCACTCACAGTACTTCTGTCACATCTACTGAAGACTGTTACAGTATTTCTACTTTTGCTGCCACGCCCTCATCAAGCGATGGTCCTCCTTTTGATCCGGGAGATGCCGTAGAAGCAGAAGGTAAAAGAGCAAAAATGAGATACGTGTTTTGGGAGGAGTTCTTGGATATTTCTAAGCCCTATATAGCTGCAGCTTGTGAGGAGCAGCTGTGTCCTGCCCTCAGGTGAGTCTGGCAGAAGTAAAGGCCAACAGCAACAGACAGGAATACCAAGAAGGAGCAAACAGTGACACTGGAGATTCTCTTGCCACTGCTAGGAAGGTATGTTCTCTGTAACATAGTAAATTGCAGTAATCCCTTGATAAATAATATTCTGCTAATATTGTTTTGTATACCTGAGTCTTTTGAGGTAGTGTAAAAGAGCGGGCGCTTTTGAGGATATTCTTGTGCCCCTCATGTGAGTAATGTGCATTCTGTCTCATAAGCAGTGGATTGCTCCTGAGATCTCCTGGCACTGGTTGTGGTCAGGTACACAGCCTGAAACTGTGGTAGCTGTTGAGATTGTGCAGATTAGCGAGTTGGGAAGGACAGTATGAGTTTACTTTAAGTGTTGTTCAGTACTGTTCCATATGGACATAAGAAAATAAGAGTCACTTGCCTAAACCAATAAATGTAATCATAGAGAAATAGTTAATATTTTTCTTTTATTGGTAAGCTGCACTTGGCAGCTGAAACTTTTAGTATGGGCCCAAAGGAGGCATGAGCACAAACTGTGCACTAGGTACCTTCAGATCCTAGTACCATGAATCATTTAGAGCAGCTTTAAGCCTATGTACCTTGTGAATGCCTCCAGTAGTTTAGTTATTTTCAGATCTTTTTGCTTATTTGACTTGTACTCATGATAGTAAAAAGAGATGGAAAATTTTGTCTGCTTTTAAAGAGGTAAGTTGTAATTCAGGTATCTTTGATTTTTTTTTCCCTTTTATTTCATTGTGGAATTATATGTTTTTTTGTTGGTTTTTTGCTAATTCTGCAGAAAGGTGAAAGGAAATGTGTATTCAACCAAGGTGAACTGGATGCTTTGGAATACCATTCAAATGTAAGTTGGAAAAAATGTATATTTTGCAAGTAAAAGCAACTTGACTTTGGGCATGTGCAAAAGTGGAGGGCATGGTTGCAAACAAATTCTGTTTTCGTAGCTTGTTCCACTGGTGCAAAGAAGGAAAGGGAAAGGAAGGTCAATCTCTCCAATCCTTACATGAATTCATGTTTACAAAGTAGATCTTCTATGTAGATACATGTGAAATTGCATCTGAGACATTACAGAGAGCTGGAAGCTGCTATAGATAACTGAACATTATGTTGTGATGAGTTGAATATTAGGAAGTGATCAATTTGATATTGGCAGCATAACCCATTCTGAAGATCAGCTCCTCAGCATTTCAGGACACTGTGCTGAGTTACTCAAAGCTTTTGGGACCTTTGAAGAAAATGTGCTTCAAAGTATCTTATTCTGCAATTGAAAAAAAAAAAAAACAACCAACTTTTCTCTAACGTTTTATATTGTCCTACTAAAGGATCATGCATTAATTGGAATTCAAATC